CTAGTTGTTCCAGTCCCAGGTTTGTTACAGCATTGTAGAAGGTTGCATGTATGGGTTCAGTTTTACATTCGTTTAGGGTCCAGTCAATGTGAGGTAGATTGAAGTCACCAAGAAAGATAAAAGTGTGTGGGCAGGATGTTGCCCGTGTTAGTAGTGAATTTAGCTTGTTTACATGTTCGATGTCATAATCAGGTGCTCTGTAACATAGTAAGAATCAAAATGTGATATTTAAGGACAGTTCACAGACGATGGTCTCAGGAAGAGAAAGCTCTTGGGTAACTTGGATGTTTTTTAGATGTAAGGGCTTTTTATAGAAGATAGCAACACCACCTCCTCTATGGATCGGTAAACATGATAGTCTCTTACTGTGATAATGGAGTCAGGGAGAGATGCATTGAGCCATGTTTCACAGACAAATATGACGTCAAATTTAGCCATATTTAGTAAAAGGAGAAATGCAGGTATTTTATTCACAAGGCTTCTTGCATTGAGTAGCTTGCATTTAAGGCCAGTTGTAGTTGGAATTGAGGTAGTTAGGGGTGTGCGTGCCTAATTTTGAGTGATGGTGGGTTGGATGAGGTAGGGTTGGATGTGGAGTTGTGGGTTGTGTGACTTACTTTTGATACAATCTGCGCGGTAGTCAATGTAGAGATCCTTCTCTCCATTATCTAGATGTCTTTTGAGTTCCTTGCAGAGTTCACGGGAGCGGATTCTTTGCAGTATGGATAAGTCTGGCCTTGAGCGAAGTTTTTTGTGATTGGGATTGTTTTTTGCAATGGTTTTTATTGTATGAATGAATATGCGTTTGCTGGACTCATTTTTGCAAACAACTCTACAACATTTTAGGGCCACCGAGCCATCATTGTATTTGGACTCAGGACCATCTCTGGTTACTTCAGTGATATCTTCGGGAGAGATGTTTGTTGTATTTGAGTTGCTTATGATATTACGAACTTTGGTGATGTCATCTGATTCGTTGGTGTCTTCAAGACCAAATAAGATGGCATTTGGACGTTTCTGATCATGTTCAATGGTGTCTCTGATGAGTAAGGAGATATCATTTGTGGAATTATTTGATGGGATAGTAATTATTTGTGGTTGTGGTTTGGTGGTTATTTTTGGTTGTAGTTGTGATTGTAGTTGAGGTAGTAGTTGTGGTAGTGGTTGTTGGGTTGGGATTTGATTTTGAGCTGATAGGTAGTCGCTCATCAGTGCTGTATTTTTTTTTCCAAGAGAAATTAGGCTTTCTTGTATAATTGTTTCAGAACGTGTTGCTAAGCATTTTTCTGTTGAGTGCATGAGTGATTCTATGCTATCAGCTCTGTCAGGCAGGGTGCTTGGTTGGTTTAGCTTAGGAAAACATGATGGACATAGACAAGGGAATTTATCTGATGCTTTTAGGAGACCAGCTACGTCTTTGTTTAAGTTTAAACAGGGAAGGTGGGCTTGATTGTCACATAGTTGGCATTTGATGTTATTTTCGCTTTCACTGATGGTTTTAAGACATCTGAAGCATGTACAGGAGTCTGGGAGGTCATTGGCAGAGATATTATTTTGTTGTTGTTGTTGTTTGGTAGTAGAGGATTTGGAGTTTCTGGCTAGCATGGTCAATGACAATAGTACACTAAACAATTATAATAGCTGATTAATGTGATAGGTAGACGTTACTTAATGAATTTGGTAATTAATAAATGTTAATTGATAAGTTAGAGAAGAAATCAAAAGTAAGGTTACTTATTACTAAAAATCAATCAATCAACTTATTACTAAGAATCGATCAATCAATAGACTGGATAATCCATGATACAGTATTAAATCTCTATCAGTTCAGTGAATCAGTAAATTAGTGGTCATTTAACAATTAATTATGATACTATTATATGATATGATCAATTATTATAGTCAAAGCATTATCTATAAATATTTTGAGGTACTGAAATAGTGGAGGTAGTATAGTATTGGAGGTTTGCGGTGTAAATTCCTTTGTTTTTCCTTAGAGCCAGGTTTTTTGGTTTTTGTTTTGCGTTGCTGTTTGATAGATTTGAATGGAGAGGATTTGAATGAGCTCACCAATCATCTTACTTTGGAGTTTGGAAAGGATAAGATTTGGGTGGGGGTTTAGTGGAGGTTGTCCAATCAGCTGAGTGGGAATTTAAATTCAGGCTGACTAATCGGCTGGGTTGTTTAAATGGAGCTGGGTGATTTATATGGAGACCATCAATTCTCCGTGAGTCTCCTTTGTTCTCCTCCCCAATTGGTGGCCATTTAGAATTATTTTTGGTGATTTGATTTAAATGGAGACTGTAGACATCATTCCAGTTCTTCCATCATCGGAATTCACAATCAGTCTCAGTTTCAAAAGGCACTTTCCCTGAATAAAAACCTTCTTCACACCTCTTCTTCTCGTCTAGTCCGCCCCGCTTTTTTTCTCCTTTAATCACTCTTTTGTCAAGCTGCCATTTAACTTCCAGAGTTAAGAGGGTAAAAACATAAATTAAGCCGCTGCCGCTTAATCTCCGCACTCACCCCTTCCACTCTGGAGTCTTCGCTTTTTTAAGTTGTTACTGACTCGGGTCCACAAGTAAATCTTCGAGCCGTTTACCCGCTCCTTCCTCCCACCTTCCTTCCTCCCAAGTTCCTTCAAGATTGGGTAAATGAAGGTCTGGGACGGGCAGCAGTGGGATGGGTGGAGAAAGAGGGGGGGGGGCTTTCTCACGTCCACCCACCACTTGTGCAAATGAAGCTTCGTGTGTGTACTTGCCCGCCGCTTGCACAGCTTGGTTCTCAAAGAGCAGGGGTGGGCTCCCAAAATTTCAGCAACAGGTTCTCTGCCCGGTTGCGGGTGGGTGTGGCCATGGCCTAGTCGGCCTCCTGTACTATGGCTGGGGGGGCCGTTTTCGCCTTCCCCAGGCTCCAGAGACCCTCCAAGGGCCAGAAACAGGCTTGTTTCCGGACTTCCGGAACTTTCAGGAGGCCCACTCTTTGCCTTCCCCAGACTCCGGAGGCTTCCCTCCAGCCTCTGCAATGACTAAAATGGCCTCCTCCAGGGTCTGGAGGCCGGTAATGGGCCCATTTCCGACCTTCCGAAGCCTCTGGGAGGCCTGTTTTTCCGCCTCCGCGTGGCCCTGCACTTACCTCACATCCAAAATGGGCCTCCTGGAGATTCCTGGGAGGGGAGCGGTGGGGCGGGGTGGGTGGGGCCAGTCAGGGGGTGGGATTTGGCGGTTCGCCAAACCAGTCATAATATTAGCTACGGGTCCGCCTGAACCCAGGCGAACCCGTAGCAGCCCACCCCTGCCAAAGAGCCATGGCCTGGTACCAGGCTGCAGACGGGAGCCGGATGCATCACACAGAGCTGGAATTCTTGAACTGCCTAGAGCGGGGCTGCCAAAATGGCATCCTATGGGCTGGATGCCTCAGATGCCACGCCCAACCCTTGTCCGCGAATGGAGAAAATCATTGCAAAACGTCACGTGACCGTGAGTTTCACACCCATGGCCTAGACATAAATCTGCCCAGCTTTGGTATAGTATATATATGGACTTCTGCTTGAGCAGGGGGTTGGACTAGAAGACCTCCAAGGTCCCTTCCAACTCTGTTATTCTGTTATTTGTTCAAAAATCTCAACCAGTGGAGCCGCCGTGACTCCAGAAAGCAGGCTGCTGTTCCTCGGCATAAAGGCTCTTCGTGGGCAGAAAATTCCTCCTCGTTTCAAGTTTGAATCTTCCTTGGTGGAATTCCCAGTCACTTAGCAAATATCTCACTTAACAATAGAAAGTTTTGGGCTCAATTGTGGTCATAAGTCGAGGACGACCTGTTGTCCTGCCCTGGGAACGAGGAGAAGAAACCACACACACACGCACACACCCTTCAATCCTGGGACAGCCCACCAGGTATTAGAAGACGGCTCTTGTGTCGTCCTCTTCTGAAGCATTGAGTTGTCAGTAGCTTTTGGGGGGTATTGCATTCTAACCATTGCACCCCTGTGGCTCTGAACGAGTAGAGCTGGAAGGGACCGTTAAGATCTTTTAATCTAACACTCTGCTCAGGCAGGAGACCCTATAGAATTTGAGACAAGTGGCTGTCCAGTCTCTTCTTAAAAACCTCCAGTGACGAAGCACCCACAATTTCTGAAGGCAAGTTGTTCCGTTGGTTGACTGTTCTCACCGCTAGAAAAATTCTCCTTCATTCCAGGTTGCTCCTCTCCTTGGTTAATTTCCATCCATTGCTTCTTGTCTTGCCTTCTGGTGCTTTGAAAAATAAGTGGGATCAGCTGGAAGGGACCTTGGAGGTCTTCTAGTCCAGCCCCCTGCTCCAGCAGGAGAACCTATAGCATTTCAGATAGGTGACTGTCGAGAGAGTCTTCTTAAAAACACCCAGTGAAGGAGCCCTCACGATTTCTGAAGACAAACTGGTTAATTGGTCCTGCTAGGAAGTTTCTTCTGAATTCCAGGTCGCTTCCCTCCTTGATTAGTTTCCATCCGTTGCTTCTTGTCCTGCCTTCAGGTGCTTTGGAGAATAAGCTGACACCTGTAACTGTTCCGAGTTATGTTGGAACCCCTCAAAGGCTCCTTACAACTCGTAACTTTGAACAGTTGCTTAGCAACCAGTCATTTTAAATGAGAACTACCTGAAATCTACCTGTTGTCCCCTCCCCCCCCCCCCAGTTTTCTCTAAAATTATTATACACAATTATGATGCACGTTCTTAGGAAACACAACTGTCCTGCATAATTATTTCATTTGTCCTGTCCTGGATATGTCCTGTGTGTCCTGTTTCGTTCATTAAAATAATGCCGTTCTTCACAGTAGAACATGTCACATTTTGAAAATCACATTTGGGTTTTGAAAGCGACGCTTCGCTTCCCTTGCTTCTCACCTCTCGAAACGATTCCAATTAGGGGGCAACTCAAGGAGGAAGGTGCAGTGCTTGTCTGCACATGCTCAGGGGCCACAGCTTTCTCCGTCCTGACACGGAAAGTTCTTCCTTGTGCCTTGCAGGGCAGGTGCCTAACGAGACCAGGCAGAACGGGCAGAGCTGCACCAGGGGGCTGCCCAAACCGGTCTGCATGAATGGGACGGAGTCTGGTCAGCTGGTCAGCAAGACGAAAGCCGAGCGGCGGGCCAGCGCCTCTTCCAACCCTTCTCGCAAGGCCTCTTCCGCCAGCAGCAAGATCCGCAAACTCTCGACCTGCAAGCAGCAGTGACCCCGGCTGGATTGCGCCCGCCACGGTTCGTATGTCCTCAGTCCGCTTTCGGTGGCAGGTTTACGGCAGGGTGGGAGGGGGTCTCTCCAGGTAGTCCTCGACGTACGATCACAGTGGAGCCCGACATTTCCGTTGCTAAGTGAAGGTTAAGTGAGGTTTTGCCCCATTTTACAACCTTTTGTTGTAATAGCAATAGCACTTAAAACGTACATACCACCTTACAGCCCTCTCTAAGCGGTTTACAGAGTCAACCTATGGCCCCCAACAAGCGGCACCCTCATTTAAATGAAACACTGCAGCTGTCAGGTTAGTAACCTGGTTGTTAAGTGAATCCGGACTTTCCTTGTCGGAAGGTTGCAAAAGGGGATCCTGTGACCCCCCCCGGGACGCTGCAACCATCATAAATAGGAACCAGTTGGATCGTGATCATGTGACCACGAGGATGCTGCTACGGTCCTAAGTGTAAAAAATGGTCATAAGTCACCTTTTTCAGTGCCGTTGTAACTTTGAGCAGTCACTTAATGAACAGTTATAAGTCGAGGACTATCTGTAGCGAGAGCCACCTTTGTCAAGACAGGCCGTATACGTGTTTGATGAATAGATAAAAAATTAGTATGAGGGATTGACCTTGGGAGAGAAGAATGGCAGATTAGACAACAGATAAGAGGCAGCCGAGCCCTCAGAAAGAAAACTGGAGTGGGGATCGTCTCAGAAGAGACTCTCCCTAGTTCCCAAAAGTGGTTAGAGCTAAGTTCTGAATCGGGGGCTAGGGGATCAGGGTTGCAAATGGGGTTAAAACAAGCTTAAACCTCTGTGGGGCTTCAGGATCCCAGTTAGTCCCTCAGAATGTGACTCCCATCTTCTCCAAGACAGCAGACAAGTAGCATCGTGGAATGAGCAAAGGACCTTGGGAGGCCAGCAGAAGAGATTCAGGCGAAGCAGCAGTCAGATAAGAGGCAGTGGAGCCCCCAGAAGGAAAAGGAACACGGGCGCAGGGGTGGGCTTCAAAAAATTTAGCAATGGGTTCTCTGCCCAGTTGCTGGGTGGGCGTGGCCTAGTCGGCCTCCCGCACCGTAGCCACCATTTTTGCCCTCCCCGGACTCCGAAAGCTTTCCTCAAGGCTCTGAGAGGGTGAAAATGGCCTCCCGAGGCTCTCTGGAAGCCAGATACAGGCCCATTTCTGGCCTTCCCGAACTTCCAGGAGGCCCATTATTTCACCGTCACCGATCCTCCGCGTATGCCCTGCACTTACCTGCATCCAAAACGGGCCACGTGGGGATTCCTGGGAGGGGAGGGGTCGGCGGGGCCAGCCAGGAGTGGGATTTGGGGGAGTTCTCCAAACTGCACAGAATCTTACCTAGGGGCTCTCCTGAACCCCTGCGAACCCTCGGCTGCCCAGCCCTGGGTATAGGGAACACTTCAGAAGGGACCCTCCCTAGTTTCCTAGACTGTATAGGCAGGGTGTGTGTGGCGGGATTAGTTTCAGATTCGTAAGATTCTGTTAACATCAATTTACAATCAAATTAGCCCATCTGGGCGTGCTTCTTGTCTGAACTACCTGGCATGGCTGACCGGGTGTCCCTTCTCCGCTTGCAGCAAGAGAGCACCGCAAACCATCCACGGCACCTGATGCCGCTTCCTTCCCAGGTTTTGCGCACAAGACCCCAGTTTAGGAATAATACCCCGGTGCCAGGGCCAGGAGCCAAGACCCATCACCTCTGACTGGCAATAGGGCTGAAATTTAACATCCCTGCCACAAAAGCAACAACAGGATACTTGTGTTTAAGGCAGCGTTTCCAACCTGGGCAGCTTTAAAATGGGTGAACTTCAACTCCCAGAATTCGTGAAGTCCAAAGTTGAAGTCCACCCATTTTAAAGTTAACCCAGGTTGAGAAACACGGATTTTAAACTCTGGAAACCGCTTCCTATTTTCCTTTTTTGAATATTTCATTGGCCTCGTGTCAGATCAAGGGGTCAGGTGGGACGGGGGCGGTGGGGTTAAACCTTTAAAAAAACAAAAACAAAACCTCCCACTTGGGGTAGAGAATTCAGTTTACATCCTGGCCCCTCCTCTATTATTATTATTGTTGTTGTTGTCAATACAGAATGAAACTCCACGGAATAGGATTTAATTTGATTTGCTGCCACAGATGCGGCCTGGTGGCGTGGGGGGGGGGGATATGAGTTTAATCTTTCCTCCGGGGCTTTTAGAAACACGCACGCACACACTAACCTAGACACCCACACAGAGACACCCACAATTCCTTCTTTTTCGAAGATAAAAAGAATTCCAAAGCGATGAGACAGAAAGGTTTGGGAGGTCCCAGGTGCTTCTGGGCAGGTGGGTGGCCTGTTCCTCGTCTGGGGCCGCCCTCCCTGCCCCTGCCGTGTGGGGTGGGAGTGGGGACGACAACAGGGGAGGCCGCTTTACAAACCGCGGCAGAGCTTCCGGCTGGGGTCTTTTCTTGGCTGTCGGGCGGCTGCTTTTGTTGGTCCCTTCGATTTGTCCACCCTCCCGTTGCAGTTTCTTCCCTGGATGCCTTTTTAAAAACGTGGTCACTGACTCTCCTACTTCATAACTCCTCTCTCCTCCCCTTCCTTTCTCAATTATCCATCCCCTCCTGTGTCTTTCCGCCTCGGGAGTCTGGCCTTGCACACATTTGCACACTTCAACCCAATGTGCTTCTCCCCCCCCCCATACACAAACACTCTGTCTCTCCCTCCCCCTCTCTCTATCCATCTTTCTCCCTCTCCATCTCTTCCTCCCACTCTATCCTTCTTCCTTCCTCTCTCTCCTTCTCTGTCTCTATCCATCTTTCTCTCTTTCTCTCTACCTCTCCATCTTCTTCCCTCTCTATCCTTCCCTCTCCCTTTTTCTCCCTCCCTTCCTCTCTTTCTCCTTCCCCTTCTCTCCCTCCCTCTCTCTCTATCCATGTTTCTCTCCTCTGTCTCTTCTTCCCTCTCTTCTTCTCCCTACATCTCTTTGTCCCCCCTCTGTCTCCATCTCTCTCCCCCTCTTCCTCTTTTCCCCCTTTTTAATCCTTCCTTCTCCCTACCTCACTTTCTCTCCCCCTCTTCCTCTCTCTCACTCCCTCTCTCCCACTCTCCCTTCCTAATTCTCTCTGTCCTTCCCTCCCCCTCTCTCTCCCTTTCCCTCTCTCCCTCTCTGTCCTTCCCTCCTTCCCTTCCTCCCCTTCTCCCTCTCTCAGTTTGCCTTCTTGGCCAAATTTCTCATTCTGCCTCTGTCCCTTCAGCAACTCAATCAGATCAGGATGGCAAATTGGATTGGCTCCGATGTGGGATTCATCCTGTCTGCTTTTTCTTATCTTGTCTAGCATCTTTCAGAAGCAAGAAGTCTTCAAAGAAAAAAACAGAAAGTCCAGTTATCTCTTGGAAAATAAATAACACCTTTGGGACAACCAGGACCTAGATGACCGAGAATCTTCATAGATAACATAAAAATAAATGTTCTTCTAAACTTGAATTTGTTTTTTTCCTTCTTTTGCAGCCCGAGTTCCAGATTGTCTGCTGCCCTAAAGCAGCTCTTCCCCCCTCCCAATCTCCTCCTTTCCACCCACCCACCTGTAGCAGATCACCTGTAGAACAAGCTTGCAATCAAACCAAGAAGAAGGAGAAGGGGAGGTTCATTTTTTTAAAAAAAAATTTTTGGTCTTTTGAATGAGTCAAACCGAAGGGGAAAAAAAAAATGGACGGTGATTTGCACCCACCTGTGACCTCCTTCCACGCCACTTCTTTTTTCAAAAGAAGGCTTAAAGTGTGGTTTGTCGGACGGGATGCAGGCTCCCCCTTTGACTGCGATGCTGTGTGTGACCCAGATATACCTGGACTCTTTCTGGGGGTTGCATTGGGGAGCAGTGATGGGAGAAGAGCCAGTGAATGGTCCTTAAAGAAGGGCGTCCTTCAGGCAAACTCTTTTTCTACCTTCCCAGGTGTGTTTGGAAACTTGCAAGCCATCGACACGCACTTTATGTAGTAGACTACTGTTATATTATATATATATATATATATATATATTTTATGTGTGTGTGTGTGTGAGAGAGAGAGAGACTGTGTTTGTGTGTGTGTGTGTATATACATATACATATACATATACATACATACATATATGTATGTATACATACACACACACACACACACACACGAACACGAGATATTTTTCGCTTTTTGGTCCCCCCTCCCTCCCTTCATTTTTCCTTCGCAATATCTCTAGAGACTGTTTTATCCGTTACGATGCATTTGAAAATGGTGGGGAGGAAGGGACAAGAACCCAAACAAGTATTTTAAAATTAAAACACAGGGAAGAGTGTCCCCATTCCGTTCTGAATTAAACACACACACACATATACACACATACAAACAAAAAAAAAATCTGCATGCTGTTTATAAGGGCTGGAGCAAAGGGAAAAAGTGTGCTTTTCTCGGTTTTTTTTTTTTTCCTTTTTTTAAAAAAAACAAGAAAATAAAGATTCAATGGAGTCGTGGATTCTACAGTGTCAACTTTGTGGGGAGCCATTTCTTTCCCTATAAGGAAGAAAGAGCAGGCGTAAGAAAGGAGCGTTTTTACCTGGAATTGTGAATGAATAGGCCTAGAGTTGGAAGGAATCCCAGAAATCATCTAACTCAGCCTTTTGCAAAACCAGTTGAAGCAGAGTTTCCCAACCGTAGCCATTTTAAGATGTGTGGACTTCGATTCCCAGAATCCCCCCCGTCAGCCATGCTGACAGGGGAATTCTGGGAGTCGAAGTCCACACATCTTAAAGCGTGCTGGCTGGGGAATTCTGGGAGTTGGAAGTCCACAGGTATTCAACTTGCCACAGTTGAGAAACATTGCTGTAGAAAGTAGAAACTGTCTCTTAGCAGGCTGAGCCCCGTTGAGTAGTCTTTAAATGGAAGTCAGAAGTAATCGCTTCTCATATACGGAGCTCAAGTACTTCTTAAAAGTTTGTTCCAATATATATATATATATAAACCCTGGTTTGTTTTCCTCCTTAGGAATTCATGCATCCTTGTGCTAGTGAACTTACTAAACAGTAGTAGCAAGATTTATGTTGTGCAAATCCATATCTGAATTCTGAGAATTTTGTGGTGCTGTCAGTATGACACTGAACCACAAACTTTTCAATCGCATTTTGTGTAATGTCGTGCAGCCTCCATCTATAGGCTCATAGAATCATATGGGTAGAAGGGACCTCAGAGGTCTTCTAGTCCACCCCCTTGCTCAGTATGAAAACTCTATGCCATCCTGGACAAATGGTTGTCCAATTATTTCTTGAAGACTTCCAGCGATGGAGTTCCCACAGCTTGTGAAGGCAAGCCACTGATCAATTGTTCTATCAGGAAGTTTCTCCTTAGTTCTGGGTTGGATCTTCCTCTGACCTCCTTCCACCCATTCTTTCTTGTTTCATAGTTTATCCCAAGCTTAATTCCAACTCTTGACCAAATCCTAGTTAAGCATGGTATATAAACCCAGCTTCTATCTTTTCAACAGCCAGGTTAGCTTGGTCAATATGCATTAGTATATATTACAGCTGCATGAAATGTTCAGAGATATTTGGGTCACCGTGAAGCTTAACAGAAGTTTGAAACTTCTTCACCATCTTTTCATTCCGGCACTTTTTAAAATCCCAGAAAGTTTGCTGAAAAGATGAGCAAAGTCTTGGGTCATGTCACTCACAACTTGAAACGGCAAGATCCAATTAAGCAAGGACCCCCAAATTGAGTGGGATTCCGCATACAGAGTAGAAGACCGCAATAAAATTCAAAAGGGTTTCGAGAGTTTTATTGAAATGGGCTGAAAGTAACAATTGAATGTTAACACAAATGCAGAGTTTATCAGCTTTGGAAGCAAAAATCCAGTGAACAGAGAGCCTGTGGGGGGAATGCCACAGCTTAGTCATGGAATGTGTGGGGAAAAAAAATTTTTAGGATACTAGTTGACCATCATAAAAAATGGATGATATGGATGCCAGAAAAGGAAAGACAGACTTGGGCTACATGAGAAATAATAATGGGAAGTTATTTAGAAAAGTCCTGGGTGGAGCCAAAAAAGTGAAGATGGCTCTTATGGTCCGATCAAAGTGATTTTTATATGCACAACACAAATAAATACATGGAGTTTTAATGGCACTATCACAGCCACCATCTTGAGTTTTTTTAACCAGCGTTGCAGGCCCCGTCTTTTTTAATGGCTTGATATGATTTTAATGGGCCTCCCAATCCTCACCACACACACAAAAACTTGTAAAGGAAATGTGTAGCTTAGACAAGCCAAAGCTAAGAAACAGGAAATAACCCTCTTCAACCCCTTGAAGGATTATCTATCTGGTAGGTAGACCAACCAGGCCCACTTGAAGAGGTGCGGACTTCAACTCCCAGAATTCCTCAGCCATCCGGCATCCATTGCTGCTCCAGCATGCTGGCTGGGGAATTCTGGGAGTTGAAGTCCACAGGCCTTGAAGTGAACAGGGTTGGGAAAGCATTGTAGAAGATGGTCAAGAGCTGAACTTCATCCTCCACAGGGGAGGCGCAATAAAGTCCCAAAACAAGATGCCAATAAAAGAAACCCCCACCCCCCACAGGTGGCTGTGGCTGTGTTAGTGGGTTGGGCGGCCATCAATCCAAGGTGCTTTAATCTGAATTATTATCTGTGCAGGATGGAATTGAGCTTGTTTCAGTGTTTGGCCACAGGCCCAATCCTGCTTTCTCTTAAGATTACCACAGGTGTTTTTTATCCTTTCTTTCTGTGGCCAGCCATGTTTCCTTCCTGGGGAAGCTTGACCTGCCTCCCTGCTAGAGCCCAGCAAACCAGGATGTCCAGCTACGGGAGGGAGAAAAGAAGGCCCAGGTCCTGCTTGCGAGTTTTGCAAAATGGTCTGCTTGGTTTGCTCAGGAAGTACAAAATCCAGTGATGGAAGGTCTAGATGTAATGATCTGTGGGGTTGGGGTTGGGGAATCTTTAGGGGGGTGTCAATCATCCTCAACCCTGGTCACTAGAAGATGGGTGGACTTCAACGCCCAGGATTCTGGGTGTTGAAGTCCACCCATTGTCAAGTGGCAGAGGTTGCAAAACGCCACTTCAAAACGCCGTTATTTGGAGGTGCTGCAAATAAGTGGGACCATGACTTTAAACCCAACCTGCAAAGGTGAAGCCAGAATGGTGGCCCAATGTGGCGGCAAACCTAAATGAACGGAGCCGCTCAAAATAAATAGGAAAATAAATGATGAATCCAATTTAAAAAAACCAAAAAGCAATTGCATTCCTAACCCAGACAGGCACTTTCTCCCTAGTCTGGGACGGCTGAGTCCAGAATTCCCAGCTCCCTTGAAAAGAGGGCACTGGATGGTAAATGTTCAGGTCTTCTATGTTGTTGGAAACATGCATTTTTCCCACCCGTGCTGGTCTGTCCGTAGCATGTGTTCCTCAAAATTTGCAGCGCCCATACAAAAGCAGACCGAATTTCAAACCCGCCTCTGTGGCTGCCATCTTATATTTTCTGATCACACCCAAGGGATTATCCTATACAGTTCTAAGAAACATCCCCCATTTCTCTGGTTTAGAAGTACAGGTAATCCTCAACTTATGACTGAACACTTAGTGACTATTCAACAGTGTGACCGGCCTGGAAAAAAAGGAGTTGCAACTAGGGTGGGATTCTACCAGTTTGCACCTATTCGCTAGAACCGGTTGCTAACATCCTAAGCAGTCTGGAGAACCGGTTGTTAGAAGAAATTACTGGCCTAATCCTGTAAAGAAGGCAGGAAGGAAACATTCTGGTGTTGCTTACAGAAACTGCCTCTTCGTTAACCCTTGTTACATTCTTGGCAGGACTAGACTTCCTGTCTCAGGAATGTCTCTGATGTTTTTTCCCCTCCTTTGCTGGTACTTTGCTTGTGTGGAGGGACCATTCAAAGTTACAGTGGCACTGAAAAAAGTGACTTATGACCCTTTTTCACACTTACGACTGTTGCAGCATCCCCGCAGTCATGAGAGGCTAGGCGAGGAGATGCGTGTCTCAATGTGAGTGATAGCCCAGCCAATAACATGACCACCAAGCCATGTCCACCCAGTCACATGACCACCAAGCCATGCCCACAGAACCAGTTGTTAAAAAAGTTGAATCCCACCCCTGGTTGCAACCCTGTTCCAAAGGTCAGCCCTCCAGCCACTGGAAGTTACGTCCAATTTTTGAGCAAAACCACACCACAGAGAACAATGCCTTCGCTTAACAAGCACGGTGCCCATCTTACGAGGTCTATAATCAGATCAGTCATTTGACTGGTCTGATTTAAAATTGCCATGACATAACCACTATAACAGGCAAGCTCCATTACAGGTAATCTTTTCCAGTCCCAAAATGCTGTTGCTAGGCCAGGCATGTTGTTAAATGAATTTTGCCCCATTTTACGACCATTCTTTGCCACCGTTAAGTAGACCACTGCAACTGTTAGTAACACAGCTGTAGTGTGTGGCTTCCCCATGGATTTGCTCCTCAGAAAGGGGCAAAAGGGGACCATGTGATCCCGAGACACTGCGACAGTCATAAAATACATGGTAGTTGCCAAGCATCCAAATTTGATCACGTGACCAGGGGACGCTGGAACAGTCAAAAGTGTATACAACAGTCATGACTCACTTTTTTCAGTGCTTTTGTAACTTTGGTCACTAAATGAATAGTTGTAAATGGAGGATTACCTGTATGGCCATATGTCGAGGACTAACAAGGGGTGGGCTTCAAAAAATTTAGCAATGGCTTCTCTGACTAGTTGCTGGGTGGTTGTGGTCATGGTGGGCGTGGCCTAGTCAGCCTCCTGCATCACTGGAGGGGTGGGGTTTGCTCTTGGGCTCCGGAGGATTTCCTCGGGCCTCCGGGAGAGCAAATATGGCCTCCCAGGCTCCAGAGGTTCTCTGGAAGCCAGAAACGGGACCATTTCCGGCCTTCCTGAACTTCCAGGAGGCCCTTTTTTCACCCTCCCCGAGCCTCCATGCCCGCTCTGCACTTAACTACATCCAAAACAGGCCATGCGGGGACTCCAGGGAGGGGAGGAAAAGGGTGGGCGGGGCCAGCCAGGAGTGGGATCTGGGGGAGTTCTCCAAACTGCACAGAATCTTAGGTAGGGGCTCTCCTGAACCCCTGCGAACCCCCCCCCACAGTAGCCCAGCCCTGGGACTACCTATAAACGCTTCCATGCTCATAGGTACATCCAAAGGTTCAGTGGAAATACAGGAAGGAAGGGGATACGTGCACTGCCTTGGATGAATTTCCAAAATGGGCTTCGGAACCCCCCCCCCAAAAGAGAATCAGTTCTTTGTTGGGGGTGGAAAACAAGGGGCCACATGAGGGCTCCCAAGGTGCCTTTTGGGGCCTAAAACGAAACAGCTGCCTGGAATCAAAGGAACGCTTCCAAAGGAGATGACCGCCTGCTCTTTCAGCATGTGGCATCTTCGAAGCAACAGAAACGGACGCAAAGCAGAGCCTGTTGGGTGGGCAGAAAGCCCCAGAGCCCCGTGAAATGGCACTGCGGGGCACCGTCTTCCCTTGGCTAAATTCGGTCTCGGTCAACGTGCCACACACAACAACCCGCAGGCCCTCCTGGACAAAGGCGATTTGTGCTCCGAGACCACTTCTTGGCACATGTGTTTTTTTGTTTTTTTTTAATCAAGTCCATTTTTCAAAAGAGGTTTGCGGTTTGCGGGTCTCGCGTGCCAGGGTGGGTGGGTGGGCAGGCAGAGGCTTTGCGCTTACCACAGCCGAGCCCCTGGCAAAGGAGGGTAACAGCCAAGGCAGATTTGAAACATACGGAAATCGTTCGTCAGCGTAGCACACGTGCCCGTGAGCGTGCCAACACGCCCACATGCTCCATGCTCAGCCCCTCACTTTCCCTCCATTGTGGCACTCATTTACAAAATCAATTGCACACACACACACACACACACACACACACACACCTAAAACAGCTTTGGACCCGCATGATTCCAAACTGGAGAAGTGAAACGCATCGTTCCCTTTTTTTAACCTGACATGCAATTTAAAAAGGAGGAGGAGGAGGAAGAGGAGGAGGATAAGGAGAGGGGAGGAAGAGAAGAGGAGGAAGAAAGGGAAAGGGGCAGGAGGATGGAGAAAGAAAAGCATGAGAGAAGGATCGGAGGAGGGGGGAGGAGGAGGGGGAGGAAGGAGGAGGAGGAGGAAGAGAAGGAGGAGAAGGTGCAGGAGGAGAAGGATCGGAGGAGAAGAAGAAGGAGAAGGAGGAGAAGAAGAAGAAAGAGAAGGAGAAGGAGAAGGAGAAGGAGAAGGAGATCTGCAAAGGGTCGGGACCCAAAAACAGAGAAAGGAGTGGCATTCAAGGGGGGGGGGGAAAAAAAATGGAAATGATTTAACGTTGGGAAGGAGGGCGGGGGTTGAAAGGAAATGGGAGAGACGAAACCCACCCACTCGCCCCCTTTCTTCCCCACCCACCCCTCACTCCTCCGCCACGCCACTCTCCGGCAGGATTAAATTAAAAAGCCAGGCCAATAAATAAATAAATAAACAGCCCAGGAAAGTTTCCCCAGCCCCTGCCACAAAAGGAACACCTGCCCTGGGGGAAAACACACGCGCGCACAGAAATAAATAGTAACGACAATCAAAAGCAACCCCTGTTCTGCGTATAGATGGAGGAGAAGAATTTGTAGAATAAGGAATAACAAAAGTGTAAAAAGAACCGGGGTATATGCTAGTAATAATTCCACCAACGTCACCACTATCAAAAAGCAACAATAATATTCACCGGCAGCCCAACGAAGGGCTCTAAAACAGAGCCTTCTGCGTCTTTGTCAACCGGTCCAGAAGACCAGAAACTGGGTTCGATCTCACTGCTTCTTCCATCGCCCCAAAATGCAACCCGGTCTTTTTTGTTGTTGTTGTTGTTGTTGTTGTATCAAAGCAGCAAGAAAATCCCAAAAGCAAGCGATAGCCCTGCAAGGTGGACCAAAACAGGATGGTTGGAAGATGCGGAGTGAACCGTGGAACGGGGGGTGGGGGGGGGGGGGGGTTGTATGAAAAACAAAAATGGAACCACAGAGGGGAGGAAAAAACCCTCCAAGGAACAGCTGGAAAAGTGTGGAAAAAATGAGCCTTTAAAAAATGGTAGAAAGGTGTAGGAGAGAGAAAAGGAGGAAGAGAAAGAGAGAGAATTGTGCTATTCACCCTTCAAGCAGCGTGCTTTTGTTTCAGGGGTCCCCATCAGCCCCCCCACCTCCCCAATATCCCAATCCCGCCCCGCCCCATCCAGGAAGTGGCAGATTCCTCCACGCGAGAAAATGTAAACTCTTCCACGCATCAACACCATGCAAAAAAGGTGGAGAAACACCCGTCTGTCTGTCCGTGGGGCTGAGATAGGCGATCCTGCCCCACCGGGAAGGCGAAGTCGGGCCCCTCCCTCTGCAAGGACCCTCGAGCGAAGATGGCTTTGCCGGCGGTGCGGGTGGGTGGGAGGACAGGTTATTGCTTGTAAAAAACCAGAGAGAGAGAGAGAAAAAGAGAGAGAGAGAGAGGTGTGCACGGGGACAGGTGGAAGGAGCTGAAATTATCTGCTACAACCAGCTCATAAGAGTGTGAGGTATGTCAGGCCTCCGGTAGACTTGGGGGCTGTTTTATTATTATTATTATTATTTATTATTATTTATTATTATTATTCTCAAGAACGAACCCCTGAAAACTTAAAACTTCCTGGCTGTGCAAGAGATAATGCCGACTTTGGCAAACCTGCTTCGAAATAGGGGAGAGATTCGGTTGAGCTCTCCCCTGTCCCCACCCCTGGATCTAACCAGAAGGAAGAGAAGGCCCTTTGGCTCTCCAGTGGACACCTTGCTTTCTTGGGATTCCCACCCCCACACCAAAAAAAGGGAAGGTTCCCCCCTCTTGGGATGTGCTCCTCCGCTCTACCTTCTGGGCCCCTGCTGGAAAGGCATGGATGGATCCATCCAGAGCTTCCCCGGGTCTTCGGTGGGCTCTAGTCTTCTGGCCAGAGAGACAGGGATATCTCCGCTGGCCAAGTCTTCAGCCCTGGACCTTCTCATCCCTCAAGGGGACCTCCAGGTGGGGCTGCCTGGTACACAGCGGAAGGCTGGCAGAGCAGGAGGGCGTTCCTCGATCTTGCTCCGCGCCCTCGGGCCCCTGGAGCACCCTGCATCCCGGCTGGCTGGCTGGTTGGCAGGCCCTGCGTGGCGCTACCCCCCCCCAGCCCTGGGGCGAGACAGAGAAAGGGTCATCCCGGTGCTTCTCCTTGCCACTATTCGGGGCTGTGCTCAGGGGAAGCCCGGGTGGCCACCATCACCACACACTCTAGACTCTCTCGTGGTTTTTTCAAGGGTGTGAAAAACAGGTCCTCCAGCCCACCCGCGATCTTGTCCAGAAGGTCTGTGCCCAGCCCCGGACACTGACCACTTTCGAGGCAATCCCTGCTGTACGGGTCAGGTCCCGTTTTGGCCTCCTCCGGCGGTTCTTCCTCAATCACCTGGATCTTCTCCCCCGTTTCCGCGGCGGGCGAGGCCACCTCCTCGTCCCCGGAGCTGACAATGCGGGGCAGGGTGCTGTGGTAGCGCCCTTCCAGGGGGTAGTTGACGCTGTCGCCCCGACGCAGGGGGGTCCGGTGCCGTTCCAGAGCTGTGGGGTAGCGGACGCCCGGGTCGCTGTACTGCTTGGTACGCTGCCATTGCTTCCTCAAATGGGTCCGGGAGCGGTGTTTGGCCCGCAGGGGGGACTCATCAAATTGGGGGTCGTGGCGGACAAAGGCGTTGAAGAGAGCGTCTGTTTTTTCGTCGATGCTGTAGTCCCGGCGAGGGAAGGATTCTCGTGCGGGGAACATCTGCCCATAGGGTGCCCAGAGCAATGGACTGGAAGGGAGGACGCCTCCAACAGCGCCAGCTGCTTCCTCCTCTTCCTCCTCCTCCTCCTCTTCCTCCTTCTCTGCTTCTGGCTCCTGTCCCTCAAAGCTCTCAAAGATGGTGGCCTTGCGTCCAGCGCTGGTGAAGGAGAAGCGTTTTTCCGAGGCCGTCTGGTCTTCTCCTACTCGGCCACTGGGGGCTTCAATGGAGGCATAGCCGCTATCCATCTGCAAGAGTTTACGGGTCCCCGCTTCCAACTCAACGCTATCCAGCTTGGGTTTTGCCAAGGACCTGTCCTCTCCCACTTCAGCCTCATCGGCCAAGGAAGAGGAGAAACTTGGCAGTCCACTGCTCGAGGAAATGCTGTCCCCACCATCGCTAGGGGCTGAGTCCTGGTTGTTGCCCTTCTCCGATGAAACACACTTTTCTAGCGATGCCCGTAGGCTCCAGATGTCATGATAAAGGGGGGTGGGCTGCTGTTCCAATGGCTCGGGTGGGGTGGGACTGGGCGGTTCGGAAGACTCTAACCTACAGCGGGAAAAAAATGTACACTTTGCCTTTAACAATGACGCAATACTTCTTTCTTTGCAAACCGAACACGGAATAATGAACCAGGGTGTCAGACCTGCCCCAACTTGGTTCTTTAGGCAAGAAAGACTCTCGACTCCAGTTGTCTTGAAAGGTATACTTCACTAAAAGGCAAATGGATTATAATATAACAAAGCCAGAACTTGGCCAAGTTCGCGCGTCAAAGTTTACCAGTTACTTTTTTCCCCATCCAGTTCTTCTCCCCTCGTCTCGTTCCTTTTTTGACCAATTGTATTTGAATAAATTGTTTTCAATGGTGGACTGGTTGGTGAGGCATTGGGTTCCATTTCCAGGGCCCTGATCTTAAGATGCCTTCTCCCCTCCTATCCAGCTCCCTCCCCGCAAAGTTCACGGCAGACTGACAGATAGCAAATGCGAAGCTCAAGCATATAAAACAGCCATTCTGACACAGCTTCAGGCGGTAAGATGTGTGGACTTCCATGCCCACAATTCCTCAGCCAGCATTTCTGGCAAGGGAATTCTGGGAGTTGAAGTTCATCATCTTAAAGTTGTCAAGGTTGTCAACATTGGAGGAGAGAGTGCAGGCTGATTCTTGGCGCATCCTTTAAGTCAAGGAACACAACTTCTAAGAATTCCCTGAAAATTATGGTGACCCCAGGATGGAATTCTTCCATGAAGCGATGCATGGAACGAGCAATCAAATCTAGTGGATTTCTGCTCCTAGGAATCTACGCCTACATCTGTTCTCAGAGTTTGCACATCTTTTTCAGGTCAAGGCCTATGCTCGCTCATCAAGGCGAGTCCTCCATGACCAGAGACATCCACCAAGGTCAAAAAAGGCAAGATGGTGGTTGCAAGCAGTGCTAGTGAAGTCCCACCTACCCCTCTCAATTTTCCTCATCACTCACACATGACAAATATTTGTTTGTGGTACTGATAGTCATGAGCTTGGAAGCCAAATTAGGCCCTAATCCAAGGGAATTGGATCAACCAATCAGAACAGAGCTGGGAGGGACCTTGGAGGTCTTCTAGTCCAATAAATCAAGGGGTTGATGAACCCTCTCCATGGCTACAGATATGGCTGGCTGGTAGTTTCCTGATACAGGTAATCCTCGACTTACGACCACAATTGGGACCAGAATTTTCATTTGCTAAACAATGGTTAAGTCAGTCGTGCCCAATTTTGCGTCGTTTTTGGCCACTGTTGTTAAGCAAACCTCCCTTGGCCCCCGAAGTGGTAAAACAGGAAGTAAAAAAGAGGTTAAACAAATCACTTCAGTTGTTAAATGAATCACACAATCATTAAGAGAATCTGGCTTGTCTTGTTGACTTGGCTTGCCAGAAGCCAGCTGTCACAAATGGTGATCACATGACCCCAGGATGCTGCAACCATTGTAAATTCATGCCAGTTTGTCAACCACCTGAATTTTGATCTCATGATTGTGGGGATGGTACATTGATGTACGTGCAAGGACGGGTTTCAGTCCCGTTGTAACTGAACGGTCGCTGCAGGAATGGTTGTAAGTCAAGGACTTACTGTAAGTCGAGGACTTACCACCTGAAGGTAAGATGGTTGATGTAGCTGCAAAGATGCAATGGAAGAGACCAAGCTGGTGAGCTTCTCAAAGTGGCTCAGTGGTGAGAATGCAGTATTGCAGGCTACTTCTGTTGACTGCCGGCTGCCTGCAATTTGGCAGATCGAATCCCACCAGGCTCAAGATTGACTCAGCCTTCCATCCTTCTGAGGTGGGTAAAATGAGGACCCAGATTGTTGGGGGCAACAGGCAGACTCTGTAAACCGCTTAGAGAGGGGCTGTACAGCACTGTGAAGCAGTATATAAGTCTAAGTCAGGGCTGTCAAACTCGATTTCATTGAGGGCCGCATCAGGGTTGTGTTTGTCCCTGGGGTGGGGGGTGGCCAGGGTGGGTGTAACCAGCTCAATATCACTTGTGTTGGGGTGCCTGTGGTGGCCTGAGCACTCTGCCAGTGAAAACAAGCTCTGTTTTCAGCTACAACAGCTTCCTGCAACTAGGGGTGGGATTCTACCAGTTTGCACCTATTCACTAGAACCAGTTGTTAACATTCTAAGCAGTTCGGAGAACCGGTTGTTAGAAGAAATGACTGGCCTAATCCTGTAAGGAAGGCAGGAAGGAAACATTCTGGTGTTGCTTACAGAAACTGCCTCCCCGTTAACCCTTATTACATTCTTGGCAGGACTAGACTTCCTGTCTCAGGAACTTCTCTGGAGTTTTCTTTGCTTCTTTTGCTGGTACTTTGCTTGTGTGGAGGGACCACTCAAAGTTACAATGGCACTGAAGAAAGTGACTTATGGCCCTTTTTCACACTTACGACCGTTGCAGCATCCCCACAGTCATGAGGGGCCAGGTGAGGAGATGCGTGCCTGGATGTGAGTGATATTGAGTTGGCCATGTCCAGCCAGTCACATGACCACCAAGCCGTGTCCACCCAGTCACATGACCACCAAGTCACACCCACAGAACCGGTTGTTAAAAAATTTGAATCCCACCCCTGCCTGCAACCCCCTGCTAGCAAAAAATGGAACTCGTGGGGAAGCAGGGCGATCTTTTGCTGTTTTCTAGGGCAGCCCGTGGGCCATATCTAAGCATCCTATGGGCCGGATCCAGACCCCAGGCCTGGAGTTTGACACTCCTAGTCTAAGTGCTCTTGGTATTTCTTCAGTAATACTGGACAATCAGAAAATTGGACAATAAGCAGATGGCCTGATCTAGCTGTCATCCAGAGACAGGCTGATTCGGCCTCCCTTTTAAGCGAAGATACAGAGTGGGAAGCAGATAATTGCCTCCAAATCTATTTTTAAATTACGTGGTTGGGCTTCTTTTTAAACAGTACATTAGCAAGGAAGAGGTAAAGCATCTGGTCACTACGTCCATCCATTATTCAGGTTTTGATCCAATAAACGGAACAATCTTAGCATTCAAATCAGAGCTTCCGGGATCTAGCAGCCCAAGCTCAGGGAAAGAAACTCCGCGGTACGTAGCCAATTCGATCCCATCATTTTCGGTTATTAAAAAAGAAAAATTCAAAATTAGGCAACGGTGACGGGAAATAAAAATCGTTTGGTGAAGGTTTTAGAGAAGAGAGCCTGGTTTAAAATAGCTTCCTATTTGAGTCCATCTATTATTTAGGACAATGAAGGGCTGAAATATTGTTTGATCTTTAAAAGAAGGACCTCAGCAAACTCAACATGCAGAGTGAAGGGAAAATTCCTGCCGTCGGCACTTAAAAAAACTCACCGGCCGGAGCTGGTAGGCGGCCATTTCGTGAGGGCCCTCAAAACATTCTCTCAGCACCCCAACAATCCAAAGCAGAGAGCCAAGGACTCCGACCCGCCCTTCAGCTTTTATGGATTAACTGGAAAATGCCCAACGTTGAATTCCACAAGAGTATTATCTCCTTCTCCAAAAGGAGGTACAAACAGTCCTCGACTTACAGAATGGCTACTCATTTAGCGACTGTTCCAAGTTACGACAGCACTGAAAAAAGTGACTTACAACCAGACCTTGCTTTTATGACTATCATAG